TTAATGTTTACCTTGAGGCCCCAACAGCTCACCTTATTCAGCATCACTTTCCAAACATTTCGACTATCTCTGGCGCTTTATTGATGTTGAATACAAACTGTCGAATTTCAAACTCTTTTTTATTTTATGAAATACTTAACTAACAATTAATTAATAATTTTTTTAATACATTAAAAAATATTTTTAAGATAAGAATTCAACGAAAAATTAAATTTTTTCTAAAACAAAGACTGCTGTCTTCAACTCTTAATAAAAATAGAATAGAAATTCAACAAGTTCCACTGTACAGTTTTCACAATTAAGTGATTGCACCATGTACAATCGCAAGCTCGCAAAGTTTTTATTTATTGTACTCTTTGTAAAAAAAAATTTCCCTCTTTAAAATCTGAAATTCATACACTTACGAAATTTGAAAAAAAATTGTTCCTCCCATAAGCTTTTGTAATACAAAAAAAATTAGTTTGATCCACACGCAATAAAGAATATCGTTCATATATTTTCCACGTATACAATAAAAACTTTTAACCAACAGCCGTCCCCCCGATTTCGAGCAAGTCAGTCGTACATTCGCTCGACTATCCACATGTGTGTTTCTCACTCGTGTATCCTGTACAGTCAAGGCTTTGAGGAAATTTTGCAATCTACATTACACTGTATGCTCGCGCGTTGCGATTGCAGTTCGGGCTAAAACCTCACAAAAAAAAAAAAAAGAAAAAAAAAAGAAAATAGAACTTGTAGCAATATTTATTTTAAAAAATTAAAAAATAATTTTAGAAATTAACCGAAAATACGAGTGAGAGCCAAACATCGATTAAGGGCAGCTTGTCAAAGCTTCAGTTTCGCAACGACAGTGACGATCTCATACTCACCCTCGGCAAAAAGGAATTTTCCCATCGCGAGCACCAGCAGGTTTTTGTAAAAAACAGTGGCCAGTGGGTGAGTTTTCTTTTTTTTTTGGTCTTTATTTCATAAAAGTCGATCAATGACGAAGAACATATGAAAAAAAAAAAAAAACTCGCGTCTCTGCACCTGTGGTAATTATACCATTACATGTATAATGTATTAACATATACTTTCACGTTTTGCAATGTAATAAATGCAAGCAAGTGCAATGACGCGCGTTCGCTTGTTTTTGTCGCGATAAAAGAACTCTTGGTTTTATCATCACTTGCGTGTGTAGATAAACGTGTTTTTTTTTTGTTTTTTTTTTTGTTTTTTTTTGTTACAAACTAAAAAAAAAAAAAAAAAATAATAATGTACATTACGTAGTTGAGGGAGTACGACAAGGAGCTGGGCGACTTTGAGGGCCGGCTGTTTGAGTTTCCGATCGAGTTCGTGCCGAGCTATCCATACGAAGAGAACGTCAAGGAGGGGACCAAGTACATGCTCACCAGAGTGCCGGCCTGGTGCGACCGGGTACTGCTGAGCCCCGCCGCCAAGTCACTAGTCAAGGATGTAAGTGGGATTTTTTTATTTTTTTTTTATTTCAACATTGACACTTTTATATTTACGTTATTCTTTTTCCAATAAAGTGGCACAAGTTTAACATAGAGCACGTTTTAAGTCGTGTCGAATTTTTTGATCCTAGCTAGATTTTAATTTTGCAAAGCTTAACTTTTAAAATATTAAACGAGAAAAAACGAAAAAAAAAAAAAAAGTATGAACAAACTAGAAACAAAATTGTTTACTCATCGAATGAATTTTTGTATCATAAATGTACAGCACGCACTACTATACGCTATTGAAAATTGAATGAAATAATTTTATTTCTTTTTATTTTGTTTTTGTTTTTAAGTATACATATTGGTTTCGTGTTGAATAATCAATTTGTCGTCAAACCTGCTTGTAAGGCAACTTGATTAATCATTAAAAATCAAAGTCTTTTTTAACAAAGGCTCTTTTAACACCGACGTTGTACCCCTGAAACATCGTTGGTTTAAAGTTACATTGAGTTTATTCGTGTCAGCTATCTAATCTAATAATATATAAATGTACAGAATTTCGCACGATAACGTTAGACCGAATCAATAAACGCGTACATAAATACAAACATGTAGAACAATATGAGTCCAACAACGGATGTACATGTAAATAAATACACACACACACACACAGAGTATCGGTATATTTTTATTCCGAGATAAAAAATTAAAAACAGCGAGTTATTTTTAGTACAAGTGTACACATTGCAACAACTTGCATACCCTCGTTCGCTTGAAAAAATTCTCGACTATAAGTTTTTAATAATTCCGCAGATAAGCAATAACGCGCCAACACACACGCCCCTCTACATGTATACATGCAGTACTTACGCGGTAAATGGTATACTTACCTCATAAATCATTCGCCAGCTCGTTAAACTATAGGTTTATACGTGTATAGTTGGACTGGAAAAGAAAAAAAAAATTGTTTCATCACTTATGGAGGTGAATTAGTTTCGTCCTCGATGATGTACCACTGAACGTGACAATTATTCGGAAACAACGTTACTTTCGTTTGAATTAATAACTAGTTTACAACACTATTGGTAATATTGATCCTCGACCTACATTCGCCCAGAAAAGTCAGTTTATTGACTAGAAAAAATATTTCGATGATAATTCAGATGTTGTTGGACGGTTTTAAAAATTTTGTATCGAGTTAGGATGGACTAATCATATGTTTCCTTTTTTTTCGAGCATTTAAAAAAGTAATTATCCGTTAATTATTGTGTACAGATTTCGTCACCGGATGCCATCGAATACGGCATCATCGGACCGTGTACCTGCATGGGAGATCACAAGGTACGTGAATGCGACACTTTTTTAAAATTATTTTTTATGTAAAATGTTAGACGAGCAAAAAAAAAAGAAAAAGGAAAAAAAATTTAAAAAATAGTCAATTCGGTTCTAACCAACTATACCTTTGACCAATCAATAATTTTGATGGTGAACTTTTGTTTCCATTGACTTTTATGCGCAGCCTGTATTTCTGAGGTTTGAAATGAACATCTAAATCCAAGGTATCTAATATCTCTCTCTTTCTGTTATTAGAAAAGAAAAAAAAAAAAAAAAAAAAAAAAAAAAACAAAAAACCAAAAAAAAAAGAAAAAAAAAAAAAAAAAAAAAAAAAAAAAGAAAAAGTTACTTCCTCTCTTTATGTACATCTTCCGTTTGTTGTGCCATCACCTTTATAGTTTGAGACTGTAATGTTTTTAAGCTCGTTTACAACGTAACGTAGACAGCCAGACCTTAATTTTTGTGCAATTCTTTACATACTTAATCATCAGTATACATGTAAACTTTATATGATGTTATTATTATTGTTATTATTATCAAAGTTATTTAATCTTCATCACAGTCCGTTCCATCTATTTGTGTTGATTTGGTATTATTCCTTCGTAAAGCCCCAATATAACGACATGAACAAACCAGTTGTCCTTACAACCCTATAGGTATACCAATTAAAATCCATTTCTTTTATCAGCTGTAGACAACGTTTGCAATGCACAATAGGTATTGTACATTCCCCCTACGTCCCTACGCATTATTTGTACCGTTTCTTCGTATTGATTCATCTTCCATTCGCAGTAATTCCCACCCCCTCACCTGCCTGACTCTCGTGTCCCTATTGTATGTACTCATACACACAACTGGTATTTACAATCCCTGTACGACTCTACATAACAAAAGCTCGTCCTTTTCACTGCGAAAAGAGAATTTAATCGTTGGTGTTGTTTGATATTAGTATTCGAACCCATTTGTACCTAGAAAATGAATATTTGACCGTTTGATCGACAATGTACGGATACTTTATTGATTTTAACTGAAAAAGTAATCAAAAGCCGACACTGAGAATGAATAACTTTCAAATTTAAGGTACAAATAATTCACACTCTTTAATTTGTAATACAACCTGAAAAAAAAAAAAAAAAACAGTTCAAAGCAAAGAAATGGAAAAACAAAATTACAATTAGCTCCAAAGTTTAATTAATCTGCAAAAGCTCATTTTCGCGTTACGGAACAAACAAGTTTAAAAGCCGTGCACGTGGCTCGGCGGTGTGTAGATAAGTACAAAACTTTTGTGATGTATAGCAACGACGCGTAGTACGACTTGTGCCCTGTAATCCTTTTAAAATCGATGAATTGGAACTACGGAGGGAAGAGGACGAGTTCGTTATCCAACTAGTTGTACCTGTCAAATGGGTAAATTTGGCTTTACGTAACTTTGGAACAAACTTGTTTGTTTCCACCCAAAAAGTGTTAATAAATTCTCTGTGGAGTAAATTCATTATTAAAGATTGTTAACCTGAACGTGTTAATTCAATTGTACCCCCGTCAAATGATATTGTTTCACTAAAAATTATGCGATTAGCGTATCATCTATGAAAAATTCAACCTTTAAAAACAAACAATTATAAAACCCACAGATTAACTGTTGGATTTTCATGTAGGGATTTCCATAAGAATTTCCAAGTCCTGCTGTACACTTGGGGCGTTTGACTTACTTGAGCCCCTCAGTTTTGATGTTATCGTGTGTGGTCCAAATATCATCAGAAATGCGGATTTCTGGAGAAAAATCACACCGAGTCCAAACTTTCTGTTGGAATTCTGCAGAACTCTATCTGTAATCCCTAATGGAAATTCAGATGGGAAAATCGCTATAGTCAAAACTCCAGGGCAAAAAAAAAAAAAAAAAAAAAAAAAAAAGAAAAAAAAAAACTTGTATCTTCCCCCAAATGACAACTCTCGTGTTAAATTTTTTTTGTCATCCCCTGCAATCTGTTGAAATCTGTGTTTCCAGCCGGTCTACCTCCGAGTGCTGCTGTCCGCGGACGCAGGTATGATTAATTGCTGCAACGAGCCGTCAAGCTCGAACCTCTGCTTCCGCGTGCCCGAGAGCTACCTGGCCTCCGAGCGTCTGCAACCACTCACGCCAACGACCACCACGATCACCACCACCACCACCTCCTCTTTCCCCGCCACTGTCGCAGCGCTACTCTCGCTTGATATCGACTCCTCAACCACCTCGAACCCACCCAAATCCAGCTGCAAAAGTTGCGCCACACAACAACAAAAACAACAACAACAACAACAACAACAACAGACCTCAACCTCCTTTCACACATCCAATAATCTCTTGCTCGCAGCTCCCCACAAGCATGATCCCTACACCCCTGATAGCATGGACAGTCCGAGTCCTAGTGCCCTGGGCATAGGTCTCGGTTTATCCTCCGAGAGCGTACCACCCGACTTTGACGCGCAGCCAATAGCCGCCAGTTCGAGTCCCTGCGCCCAGCAACAACACCACCCATCGGTCCAGAGGCCAAAACACCAGTCGGCCAAACACACGATGGACAGGGCTGTGTCGCCAGAGTTGCTCAAGTCGAAGCTGGAGCTCATAGCCGAGAAGAGGCGGGACGGTGAAGTGGACTCGAACTCGGGATCCGAAGCTGGTGATGATAACGCGGATGAGCATCGACGCGAGCAGTTGGACGGTGACGTTTCCTGGCAGCGCTCGCACTTGCTCACCAGAGCCTGGCTCCAGGGCAAGGACAGCCAGGTCTACTGCTCCTTTTCCACGGACTTGCAGCACCGCAGTGTCGAGGAGGACGCGGAGGAAGGACATAGGATCCATGAGGCCAGCTCGGAAACGGCCGATCGGTCGGAATCGCAGCAGCGCCGCTGTCCCCACCACCGCAACCAACAGCAGCAGCAGTGCCACCTGGCGGTAGACATGGTAATCCCCCGCATAGCGATAATAAACGCGAGCAATTTGGAGTCGAACGCGAGTTCGGTGCAGCTCGACGACAGCGCCAACAAGCGAACCGCCACGCCGTCGGACCAGTGCTACCTGGACACGTGTTACTCGAACACTAGGACGCGGAGCCTGAGCGAGGCCGACTCGAGTTGCGGCAAGTCACCCGCGGCTTGTAGTTTTGAGGGAAACGAGTCGCAGGAGGAGACGGCCGAGAAGCCGGGGATCCTTCCCGACGAGGGAAACGAGGCGAGACAACGGACCCCGACCACGAGGAGCAACTCCATACAGAGCCAGGAAGCGAACGTCAGTTTGAAGCTGAAAGCGTACAACAAAGTCACCGAGAGGTGCAAGGGGAAGATCGTCGGGGAGAAGGGTCGCTGCGGCAAGTGCTGCGTTGTGTCGTGATCGAGGGGGAGCAATGGAAATATGTCATCGTGCGCGAGACTGTGAACTTTGTATGATTTCCAGAAAGTTGTTCAACAATTTTTTGACAGTATATATATACACCTGCTGTATTTTCAAGGGGATATATCTCACGAGTATCGCGTTCATTGCTAAAAGTTGATGATGACTTTCTTGCCTTGTGTCGCTTGATGTGTTCGGATTATGACGTGAAAAAAAAAATAATGTTTTTTTTTTGTCTTTGCGCGTTCTTATCCATGTCGATAGTCAAATATATGCAAATATTCGTGCCGTGCGATAATACGTAATAACAATAAGTGTGATTTATGGATACGTATATGTATACATATGCTAGAAATATGTATATTTTTGTTACTTATGTGTGTACACAGTACAATTTTGTGTCTTTGTGTGGTTTTGGTGAACCGTATGTACAATCGTTTCATCGGTTTTGGACCAAAAGGTCATTTGTCACACGACCATTTTATAGTACTGGAGAAATTCGGGTTGTTATTTAAATGATTTTTGGACTTCGTTTCGCTGTTCACTTCAGTACTGATTTTTGGATATAATAAAAAAACATCGTTCATTTTTCATGAAGTTTTTCTAAGTAGAGCTTCACGATATTAGAACACTTAATTATTACAATATTTAATTGTGTCAAGTAATTAGTTACAAAAAAAAAAAAAAA